ATTAAATTTTTAAATTATTAAATTAAATTTATACTAATAAATTATACTAACAAATTTAAATTTTAAATCTATTAAGATTGTTGCTTATAGAATTAATTAAACTTTGACTTTTGTCCCCTCTTCCCCGCGGATCAGTTTTAAGCAGTTAATTATCGAATTGCGCGTGCGAATTGTCTCTATGAAAAATGTCGCGAAATTGTGAACACAGATAGGAGTCGAGCTTGCAGCCGACTCGCTCGGCGAACTGCGCGACGACGTTAACGCAAATCCGCGGACCGTGCGTGCTGTTTCCAGTGCGTTAATTCGTATATCCACCAGCTTTCCGCTTGTGTTTCAGACAATGGACCGCCTCCCGTGGAGCAGAGCGATGACGGATGGTTGAACTTCACAAAAATCACTCGTGCCGAGAGCGGCTGGTACAAGTGCTATACGCGGCATATGCTCGGCATTTTCACCAGCATCGGATATTTTCTCAACGTTCGCTGTGAGTAAATCGTTGTCGCGCCACTTTATCGCTTTCAATAGCGATACGTAGGATTTCCCGCGCGTTCGAGCAGGGGACGTCAAGTTAATAAATGTATCTCCTTCAATGAAAAGGAAAAGAAGATTATTTCTTTGAAAAGAATAATTTTTGAAGAAGCTTTACTTTAAATTGAAACTTTAACAATTTCTGCCTGTGATTATTAATTTTTATAATCTTACAATTAAATAATAGATGAAAAATACAATTCTTAATAATTTGTGTTTTTATATGAGTTTCTTTTATTTAAAATTAATAAGTTAATTAGTAATTAATAAATTACAGCAATATTAAAAATATTGGATAAAACTCCGAAAATTAAAATAGTGTACAAGTAATAATAAAAATATAGTATAAAATGATGATAGCGCCGACGAAAGATAATTACGTCGCAGCGCATCTTTTGGCTGATGTATTGTCTACCCCCTATGCATTTGATAGCGCTCGAAGAGACATTCCCCCTGATTCGGAATGCGAAGGGGGTCGTCGCTGCAGCCAATAACCGGATACCACAGTCATTTGTCAAGGGCGGAAACCACCGAGCCAACCGGAAATTATCCGTGCCCCGTCGTGAAAATTTGCAAATTTCCTATCTAGCCCCATTCCTTCCATCTTGCCATTATAACCAGAGGGCGATGCGCTCCCTGCATCTCAAACCCGCGGCCCTCGTCTCTCTTCTCTCATCCTCTTGTCTTCTATCTAGTCCTTCTCTATCACTCCTATCCTCTTGCTTCCCTCCCTCCTTTCCCCCCCCTCTCTCTCGCTCGCTCGCTCGCTTGTTCGCTCGTTCGTTCCCTAGTCCTCTGCTCCTTCGACCGACGATGCTGGATACGGGCTTCCGAGCACCTAATCTCTACGCAATTTAGATGGCTCGAGAGCACCTATAAACCAACCATCCTCCTTCGTGGGAATTATCGATTACACTGCTACTATGTCCTGTTCGAATCTCCTCCTGGATTACTTATCCGCCGGATAACGTCAAGGCGGGTTTAAATCGACGCGCTAATTTCGCCGGCTTGTAGACAGTCTACAGATAGAACGTAGTTTAAAGGGACAGGAGTGATAAGACCAATGCTGTCGGCAGACAGACGGATTTTTTTCGTAACTATTATAAGTACAGATGACGCGGATTAATTTTTTCTTGGTACATATTTGAATATAATTTTTAATTCTTGTTAATTCTCTTAAGAAGACAGATTATCATGTATTTAATCATTTCTAGTAAAGAGTTATTCCATGATGGCATGCGATATTCTATGTTCAAATATTCGATCCAACAAAGCATCTTGGATGCGCATAATTCAATTAGTAGGCACGAAAGGCATATCAAAGTAATTAGAGATAACGCGATCACAGACGAACGAGTATATGAGAACCTTAATCACCTTAGTGCACGCGAATCGCATTAAGATTTAGGACGATCACAAGCCGCTGCCGCAGAAGAAGAGACGAGATCAAATTTAGAGGTAACGAGAACTGTTGAAGAGAGGAGTAGTGTTGGCTGACGAAAAACGTCAAATTACCGGCCTGATTACCGGGCCTCCCTTTTCTCTCCCTTTTCCTTTCCTGTGTTTGTTAAAGCGCCGCAGCGATGGTGTTTGCTGTAAAATTCCGAACAAACTACAAGACAAACGAGATATAGTTGAGAGTCGAGCGAGCGTGAGAGGAAGTGAAAGCCTCCTATCGCATCCGCACCACTTTGATCCCTTTGTTTTGCTATAGGATGAGCTGGAGGATCAGCTTGCTAACTCAAAGGACTGTTACGTCCTCCCATCCTCCCGCCTCGCTTCTTTCTCTTTCTCAGCCAAATTCCACCGCAGCAGTCCAACTCTAATTCTCGAACAGAGATACGAGCAATCCCCCCGCACACCTTCGACTACCCTTTCCCCGAATTCCCCATTCCTTCCTCTCCCCTCTCTCTTTCTTTCTCTCTCTGCAATTGTGGACACAGCGCTAGCTGGAGAGTAAACGATCGTAGCCGTATAATTCCATAGGTGGAATCGGAAAAGGACGAGAGGGATGAGGAAGAGGGTAGAAGTTGAAACCGACCGTACGTAACGTCGCGGTGGGGAAAAGATTTTGTCGAACCCGGTACGTGAGGGTAGAGAGGTACTGCCCCAACTTTATCTTTCGTACGTGCCGCTGATTTCTGATACCGAAGAGCACTTCGATATAGATGACGATGGACGAGCGATATCGAATCAATAATTCAAAGTAATAACAAAAAATAAATGTGCTGAGAATTATGATTCGCGAAAGTTACAAATTATGTGATATACTTTAGCAATTTCTTTTTTGTATCGCTCAGAAAAAATTTTTATTAAAACGTTTTTATAATTACGAAATCTAGGAGACGAAATATGCGATAATATACAAATGTAAGAGTACACTCTAGTAGATGCAAATACATAAAGTCCCATTTAAAAATATATATAAATATATATAAATATATATATAAATAATATATATAAATAATATATTGCGACATTTTTATTTCAGCACTGTATTATTTTACTATATACATTTGTACTATATACATTATTATTGTATTATATACATACTATATACATTCTATATACATTATTATTATACTATATACATAATCGCGAAATACAGAAGATCCTAGAAAAGAGAAGAGACAATCTAAAAGCACCCTTTTAGATACACGCTATTTCTATATTTTGGATTACGCTGTCTCATTCTGTCATCTAATAATACATTGTGGAAAACAATGGCGCGCGACCTACACGTTTAAGTTCGACTCTCGAGTTCGTCGCTCGTCGAGAGATTTAAATCAATGGCATTTTAGATGATCCAGATATGGAGACCGAGGCGGAGGCGCTGAACGGCGAGGCGACCGATTCCCGTAGGATGGAAGTGCAGATCGGCGGTGCCGTGACCCTCGAGTGTGACGGTGGTTGTTGGGGCCATGGGGCTGGAATGGACCCGGCGGGAGGGCCCGGGCCTCTCGCTCTGAGTCGAGTGGTGTACCAGGAAGCCGGGGAATATCGATGCGTCGCACCCGATCGAAAAATGCAGGACACGTGGCGAGCTCAGTTACCCTATCACATCAAGGTTACCGGTGAGTTCGATAAAATCTCTAGCAGACCGCCGGGCTGCCGATCTTTCGGCCAGCATGGTTTTTCCTCTCGGCTGCTGCTCTTTATTCATTCGCAGTATATCAGGGGCGCGCGAGGGGGGGGGTCCCTCGAAACTCTGAGGGAAATGATTTTTTTCGCGTTCGCGCGTGCGAACTAAATATAGAGATAGAGATTATCCGAAAACCGATTAGACGTGCACAGTGCGCGTCCGCGAGTTACAAATTGAATTGCGATTCACATGACGTTGATAATGCACGAGATGCATTGTTGCCGCGATTGGTATCTGACGAACATAACATTGTGTGGCGTGTCGCATTGTATCCTGCCGCATTGTACGTTGTGGCTAACTACCTTGCCCGCTATCTGGTTCTAAATTTAATTATAACAGCCGACATTGAATTAACCGTGTTACGGTGTAACCGTGTTACGATGGTAACACATTAATTATCGGCTTAAACTTTTGACGACCTGCTGAGGAGTACGGCAAAACGTCGTGCGGAGTTAATGCATTCCTTTAATCCATTTAATGTAGTTACGTTTTCGTAAAACAAATAAACCGGAGCTATATTCAAATGGTATAATTTGTGCATTTACATTTCATGTACACTTGTGTACACGAAGTTTGTTTACGGTACGCGTACATGGTTCAGCGGGTCAAATAAGATATGACTCCATTATGGAACGCGTGAGTCACATGAAGAATTAAAGAGCATATATTTGACAGAAATAATTATCTAAAGCTCTATTAAAATAAATTAATTGTATAAATTAAGTGATTTGACTAGTTAAATGCTCTAAATTTACGTAAACGTAAAAAGAATATAAAATTCTTAGTGAAGCAATCAGAAGCAGCAAATTAAAATCCATAGAAATGATATTTAGGCTTATTAGTATAACAGCTTAAGTTTAAGTTGGTTCTATTAATAATATTTTGTTATATTAAATAAAATATATATATATATATATATATATTGTTATATTAAATAAAGTATAGAGAAATATTCTATAGTGAATGTTAAGCATCAAGAATCATATAAGAAGCAATAGCCTATAAACATGCACACATTCCACACTTGCAGAAATTTACATTATTTTATATAAATATTATTTTAAAAAATAATGCTAATGCGTAAGGTAACACTGCAAATTTATCTTCGTTTTTATCGAAAAAAGACACGTCGCATTTCAGTCACAAAAATTCTATAATATGTAGAAACGAGAGATAGAAATTTTTGGTTCGTTACATTAATTCGTCCTCGCAGATAAAAGCCGTTGCGGCTAGCATTACATCGTAATTATGATAATATTTTTTAATGGATATGGCCGAATAATAACCATCATAATGTTTTAATGTTACCACGTGAAGCCATACGGCTAACGATTGCATAAAACTTACACACCATGTGTAGAGTAATTAAATATTTTTCATCGTCACATTGCGGCCGGAAGAAATTAATTAAATGATGAGAATGTGAAGCATTTTCATTCATTATTAAAGCTTCGTAATAGCTCTGAGTATCATTTGCTATACATCGATTGCGACAAGCTATAAAAATATATATATTACTTTCTCGTTATTACTTTCTCGTATTCTCCATCTCTAAGTATTATTTTGATACGTCATACATTGGTTCAAATATAAATATACATATATCTCAATCACATCGAGACTATTATTCATTATATGCATATTCGAAATATTATTTTTCTTTCGACATATTATTTAGATTTTATTAATCACATAATGCTGAATATAAATTATATATCATCAGAATTATTTATTTTATATCTTTTATTCATTTTTTATTTTAATCTTTTATAAAAATTTCAATGGAGAATATAGATATAATTCTCATAAAAAATATTCATGTCATTTTCAACGTATTTAGGTGCTCGATTGACTTTAGTAATAAAATATTTTAATATTTTTTGAAAAATTCGCAAATATTGATTAAAATAATTTATGCTACTTTATTAAATGTTTAATATTTTTTTAATAACTGCACATTTTTCTTCAATTTGGAATTTGCATATCAATTTTATTACTATGGGGGCAGAGTCTCTTTATTTACTAAGAATACGTGAGCCTTATTTCCCATCCGAACCAAAGTTCAAATCCGAATACGATTTGGAATCTGCTTTTTACTTGGCGAGAACCTCGAGAGACTAAACGGAAGCGAGCGCTGATAAAAGTTGAGAATTTGGTGTAACATAGATACTCTTAGATGTGCACTTAGATGTGCAACTCTTTGGGAATGTGGTCAACGGAACGTGACATATAAAACGAACAGAATATGCTGCGGTCGAGAAAAATCAAGTTGAATGCCTGGACAGTAGATAGAATTGCAAATCGGTATTATCGAGTTGCAAAATATATGAAAATTTTAGATAAAAAACACTTGCAAGAGTTATGTGCATAAACAAATTTTTTTGAATTCACTAAATTACTGAAGTTGTATGGGTAAGAATTGACTTGTGAAACCTTATCAATTCAAATCAATTTATATTACTTTATAGTAGTTTTACTATTGTCCCAATACATTGAAATACCTAGATAATCGACAGACTACACGTAGAAATGATTTTTGTCGACGACTGTTTTTGAATCGTGTTATACAGTTATGACTTTGGAAACTCGCACTCGCGATGCTGTAGAGGAAAACAACTTTATGACGCGAAATGGGAATTGTGGCCTCGTAAAGTAGACTGACTTAGCATACTCTATCGATGTGATTCCTGCACCTTCGTTCAAGAAGCCGATAGAGTGTCAAACTAAGAATCAAAGCGGACTATGTATGTATTGGAAATCGAGAAACACATTGCGGTTTTACTGTTGCAAAATCTCTCCTGTTTGTCTTCTATTCCTCGACTGGCGACGATAAAAGAAAATCCCTGCCCAAAACTGTCATTGTCATAGCTTTGCAGCAGCCACGACGGAACGGTCATTCGACGAGGGGCGCGGATGAAAACGACGCGACGGATCACGAGCGAGGAAAATGGAGAACCGGAAAGAGGAAACGCGGAAGAAAGTTTGCGAACGTTTAACTTTTCCATTCCTTCTCTGGGGTCTTGTCCTCGTAAAATGGTTCCCGGACATCCTCGCCGACACCATCCACCCGCCCTTGCTCACCCAGGGCTTATGAGGGCGCGCGTTGATCTGTCTGAAGGGTGCGCGAGGCACGTAGCAGCATACCGCGATATCTCGTTTCGTTTAGCTCTTAACGAGTTTACGTGGATCTTAAATGGCTCGTAATTTTGACTCGGATTTTGATCTGAAAACTTGAGTCGCGAGTGCAAATTAGCCTTCTGTTAATTCCATACTTGAAGATTGAGATTAAAACATATGGTTAATGTTAATAATATTCGAAGAGCCTCTATCTGATTACATATATACATATGTATTAAAACGTACATATGATGAAAAACATGTTAGATATATATATCTAGATGTTATCTAGCGTTAGATAACATATTTTATCAGAAAATCGCGAGATGTAAATAAAATGATGTCAATGAGAGAGACGTAAAATTTAAAAGAATTATCGAAGAAATTTTCACAAAAATATCTTCTACTCTACATTTTAGCGAATCCGCCAATAATTTCTTCGTTTCGTTCTCACCATCATCGTCGAAATGATTCTCACTCGGTCATATTTTGCGGGCGTATCATTCACCCGATAAAGAATCACGGGTGCCCCGATGAATCCACAGACGACACAAAAAGACACTCGCCCATTGAAATACGACGACGCTATACGTTCGCGATCGCGAGAGACGTTGGACAGTTTCCCACCCTTTTCGGTCGCGGATACGATTCTGGGAATATCGTATATGCCCGATTATTTTTCCTCGCCCTATTTACGCGACGATGATAGATGCAGAACGTTTTCTTTCTCTTTTACCCCGTCCGCGTATATCCCCCTCATGACCGCCTTGCGTTCTCTATCCGCTTTCTTCCTTCCTTCCCTCCACCATCATTCAGCCTGAAGCAATCGCTGGAGCAATCCCGACTTCTTATTGATTGCAGCTCGGGGAACTCGTGCGTGTAAGGCGCTCAGCCGTCGGTCGAACGTTCGCTATCCTACGGCGAATGCCTCCTACGTCGTTTCCATGGAAATGAAAAGACACAGAAGGCAGATCGAAATTATTTCGCCGTCGTCGATCGTTGTCCCGCGCGTCCGCAATAATTTTTGCACCTCACTTTATCATCCGGCGTAACATCTCCCTCGGGGATCGTACAACGCGCGAGATATAAGTTTCTCGCTCGTCCGATATCAAAATATTTCGCCGCGATCCTAATATGTATTTCTTTAGATTGTCGATCCTTTTTCTCGGGCTTCGGACTTCCCCCGATTCCCCCGTAATTTACTCGACCTCGTTTGTCGCATCTTTGAGAAATGCCACTTTTAAATCTTCTGACGTCTTAAATTTTCTCCCGCGTGAAATGAAAGATCACAAGTTATTGGAAGCACACGGGAAATGCAATCGATTTGTCAATTGCAATAGAGAAATTTGATTGAAAAGCTTTTTTCTAATAAGTCGATATTAAAGTTACACTGTATAACGTCATCACTTTATGCTATGTTATGCTATGTAGTGTTCATATATTCTTTACTTTATCCGCGTAATGTATAGAAATGACTTAATATTTTATTTTTATAATAAAAAATTTTATAATAATCGTTTGTATAGGATTAAACATCTGTTCTGAAGCTGATGCACGCAACAATCGTTCAGAGATCTTTTGTTTCTTTTGCGTTGTTTCGGAATTGACCAAGCGTGTAGTGATATGAGAGAAGTGTGGAGATGGAAACGCGTATCGTAACAACTTCAAAGCAACCATCAGCTGAATATATTATGGAAGCACCGTACGTGCGGTTTGTATGATATTCAAACTATACCATGCGCGGCATGTTTGCAATAATCTCAACCATACTTAAACGTTTGAAACCAACGGCACATATTCACTACGCATTCCTATAAATATACATAATTTCTCTACAAAAGAATAAATAATAGACATCTATTTTTTGCAGATTTAGATAAATCTTCTCTTTAAATTGTTTTGATTAAATATATATTATTTTTTTCGATCGCTTACATTTTTTTCATATTAAAATTTAAAAATAAAAAAATTCTCTCTACATGTATATATTACTTGTTACGGCTACACATTTGTGTTTAGTAACTGTGTGAGTTTTTCTTTTTCTTAGCGAGAAAATAAAGAGGCCTTTGATTATTGTCATGGAATGCGCTTTGATCTTTGCTTGGAACTTTGATCAATAGATTTTATGAAGCTTATCTGAGGATAAGATAATAATTTTTAATTAGAACAAAAGAAAAATTTTTTAATTTTCTGTTATATATTTTTACAGAACGTTTGTAAACTAAAAATCCTCTTTACGATAAATTTATCAACAAATCGATTACATATAATAATTATTTCTATTTTGATGAAAAACGGAAGCTAAACTTGAGAACTTTGTCGCTCAGCCTATCTCTCTAGCTTTCGTTACTTCGTTACTTCGTTAAACGTTCATTAAATCTTCACGCTTTGACGAACTAAAATGTAGTTTTTTTCTCTTTAACTGATCTGTAAAGAGGGGCGTTTGAACTAACGATAGAACTTACATAATGAAACTTTCGTGTGTTCTCGTTAAATCGCCGTCCAAGTTCGTCTAGTGAATACTACGTGCAGCTATTCCATTGTGGAAAATTCAAGCTTCATTAACAAACTAAATGATGTTGTTTGAATAATGTATAACCGGATAAATATTTTATAACTCGAACAAATTTCTGATGAGAAAGGAAGAAAAAAAGAGAGAGAATATAAACAATTTTCATGTAAAATGAAGCGCAACTGAGCTGATAATTGAGAGTAACTCATTTTTCAAAATTATCGTGCTTATTTAAACGCCCTCTTATTTTTCATGTTTCAATTAAATATATTCATATGTTTTTTTATCTCGTTGCACTGTTTTGATTCAATTCCTTTAATTCGACAGATTCTCACAATCTTAATCCTTGTCGACTAAGTGACCGGTAATATTTTTGTAGGAAAGCCAAATTAGAACATTACAGAGACACAACAAGAAAATTACGATAAGTAAATAATCAGTCGTACCTTTTGACGATCTTTCGATGCTTATGACGCTTTAATTAGAGTTAATGAGAAAGTGCCGAACAAATTTGCATTAGTGCACCGTTGTCGCGTCGGGAAACTTCTGTTGATCTATAAAACACTTGCTGAAATCGAGTATATTTCGGATAGATCAACACAACTTTCCGCTGTGGTGCAGATAACTATCTCCTTCTCGTCAAGCTCGTCCGAGCTCTCCAAGAGTTTTCCACGGTTAATCGCAGGAGAGTTAATTTCATCGTATCGCTCGTGTACAACGAGCCCCACTGTCGTGACGATTGGAACAGCGAATTTTGGAATGGCTGGATGTATTTCATACCAGTGTACGATTCTAAATTTGCATTTTTTCTAAGCTTGATAAAAGATCCGGTCAAATCATTTAGTCATTTACGCGGAGAGCCGCACTTCCGTAAGGAACAAAACTTGATTATGCGCTCAAAGCAAGGAGAAAGAAAAATGAGTCGCCTCAGGTCAGAAACCAGCCTTATTATGGCCAGCCAACATTTTACAGCGTGTTCTGAATTTTTTAAAAGCCGACATCGAATCCACTGTAGTGCACAGATAGATATAGCAAGATTCATCCAGCTTCAAACGATCTCGCGCAGAAATTAACTCGTTTCATTATTCGGCGGTGTAGAGAGAGATAGTAGATAGACGAACGCTTCATACTTTCTACTAACGAACGCGCTAAACTTCGTAGTTCATTAACGATAATTCGTCAAGAAAACAAAAACTGATCTCGTATAATAAAAATATATTATATACTTGCGCTTGGTATATTAATGTACAGATTACTCATTGTTTTTCGTTTAATATAATTTTACTGACGAAAAAAAGGAAATATGATATGAAAAGAAAATACAACGTAATCTCAATAAAACCTAAGATAACAATTTCCTAATTTTATAATCAATACATATAAATGTAGAATATTATACACGTGTTTTTATGATTTTTTTGGAAAAAAACGATTCTATTTACACGAATGGAATGTGTGTCAGTTATAGTTATATCAGTCTCGGATGTGCCATTGTTTTTTATACATAAATTTCAATATGAATTATTTTAATTTGGACAATATAATATACATTGATGAGGGTTATGTAGATCGTCATAATCACAAAAACGACAATTATTTCAAAAAATAACGACATTATCTGCGTTCGTTGTTAGTGTGTTCGAACGCGATATAGAGCGCATGGCCGATTAGATTTAAATTCACATTGCTATGATCGCTGTTATTCGAGCGACATTCGGACGATGGGAAATAACGACCCAAGAGACGTAGCTCTGTGCGCTACATATCGAGCTCAACGAATAGAGAAGGGTTGGGAGGCACGTAACAAAACGTAACCCCGAAAACGATGGTGTACATGGGTCCCCGAGGGAGCTGTGCGGCATTCAAACGAATCGAACGACATACAATCGTAATCCCGGAACGCGAAAGCGCCTGACCGCAGCTGTAAAAATCCCGCGTTGTCGATAAAAATTGCCTTCTAACGAAGCCAAGCCCGAAAAACACGAATGAGCCCTCAAATACTCGTGGAAATTTCTTTTTTGCTTATATTGAAGCTTGCCTCCATTTGCATACAGCATTGTTTCAGAAGAAACGCTACTTATTTCAATATTCAGTTAACAAGCGGTCAAAGTTTTTTTTAAATAAAAAGATTTAAATAAAAAGATTACTTTCATTTAATTAGTTTTTTACCGAATGTGAACTAGCGTTTTGAATGTTTAATCTATATATCTTTGCGTGTGTATGTATGCGCGACTTTATGTCCTTTTTATGTTTTATTTCTTTTAATTCTAAAGCTGACAATGCGTCTTATAATATCTTTTCTGTTGTTTTAAATTCGACGATTCACAATCATATATTTCTCCCTATTTTCTCTAGTCTTAAAAAAATATAAAAAATATATAAAATTGAGAAAACATAAAAGCCACCGATATGAAGACAAATTGAAAAGTCGAGATTCCGCGAAAAAATTTTAACTTTCCAATTTTTCTTCATATTGATGGATTTTATGTTGCCTTGATTCTTTCACTGTTCTAATTTTATCGAGTTAGGGTTAATGTAGCTTCGATCGAACAATTTGTGAAAGGAGTAATCGCGGATAAGGTCACCAACACAAAGATAAGATTGAATACTCACCGATGAAACTATCTTTTGCTGCGGCATCACGTATACACACGTCTGCTCGGTGATCAGATGATGAACGACGTAGCTGCGCTATTTTTACGTCACTACTTTATCGCGGATGCACTACGATGCTGCTATATAAAGCGCAATGTGAAAAATCTCCTCTTGATGGTACGAGCGATTTTAGTTACGCTCTTCATACGGATAACTGCTTTCGGAACATATATGATCTATCTCGAACGTAGGAAACATTATCTCTGTAAGTAAGTCAATATTATTAATTTGGTAGACGACAAAATTTAAAATTTTTTATAAACTACAATTTGCTTTAACAGATTTATATTTATATTTTCAATAATATTGATGAATTTTTTCATTTGACAATATTAATTTAATAACTGTGTTTTTACGAGAAGAAATCAGTCCCTCAATCTCGAATTATTACAAATTTAACAAAATGGATGTAACGTTATTGCAAAAAATATTCATGATTTTAAAACGTGTTCATGTAGACTAGAAAATATAAAACAACTGTAAGTACTAAGAACATTTTTCATACTTTTCATACTTTCTTTGTAGCATGTAAATAAACTTCACTCTACTTACTTACTTTTAGAAATAATGTCTTGTTAAAAAATGTTTTTTGCATTTCCATGGTTAGAAACGCGACACGCTTTTTGTACACAAACGCAAACTTGTTACTTTATTTAGCAAGTATTTCAGAGATGAGAATTTTAGACCCTTTATTTTTATATCGCTCGAAATGCGATAATGAAGAACAAAACAAGATTAATAATGGAAGAGTAATATTTCTTTTTCCCAATCATTGGAGCCATGCAATCCTGCCGCGATGTGATTTCTAATTTTCATCAGTTCTCCCCTTCGACGTACGAACTCTGGAGTTCCGACGTGTTAATCGACTTATGAAATACCACTGAAACAAATTATTTGGCATTGTCGACGACACATGGGAATATAACGGGCCGTCCTTCCAGTTGTGGCCAGAAAGCCCTCGGAGATGCTGCAGGAGAAGGATGGATGTAATCATCGGACGCCTCGGGGGGACGGAAAGGTGCAAGGAAACGTGATCTCGGAAGTCAATGGTTCTCTGTCGTGTCTTCGGCCTCCCTTGCGACCGGGGCCCCCGTCAGGCGGGATTATCTTTTTTGTCATTCTCGTCACGTGTATCTCTTTCCTGACATATCCTCCCTGACTAGACCATCCCCATATCTTTTTCTCTTTCGCCTTCATGCAAGCACACCGGAAAAACTTTCATTTTTATCTTTCGTTCTTCTGTGGATCAATACTTGATTAATTCCAGCTTTTGAATATAGATGTCGCGAATAATTATTTATAAAAGCGTTGCATCGCATCAAAAGGGTGAATCTTATTTTCGCAAAGCAGGGTAATGACATCAACTCGAAGAGCATGTCTGATGAGAGTATACATGTTCCTTTTGTTAAGAGGAATGCAAATTTGTGTGAGTGTACAATTTATCCTGCTTTTATTTTTCCGTTTATTGAAAAAAATATTTAATTATTTTATTTGCAGTCTTTGTCTTGTTTATTAATAATATGCTCCGATAACTTGTATAATTATTATTATTACTATTGAGATAATAATTGTTCGAATTTAAAGCTTATTAAAAGGATATTATTTAATCTTCTTAATTGATTTATAATTTTGAATATCAACATGTATGTTTTCGTATAAATAAGTTGAAAGATTATCGTAAATTGATATAAAAACATATGACCTCTTTGATTATCCTTCATCAAAAACTTTCTTCTCGTAGCTCTCACGCTGATGAATATTTGATTAATTCCATCTCCAGAACGTGGAGATTGCGAGCGATCTCACATTCGAGACGCGTCCGCATCGGAATTAAATTTTATTTCACAGACCAGCGCCGTGATTGTTGCGGATGTAAGCGATAAACGTTTACTTTATTCAAATTTTCAGCTCTTCCCTCTCTCAATTACTCTTTCAACTTCGCGCAATAGAGTGTGATGCGCTTGATAAAATTCTCTCTCTCCTTTTTTTTTTTGCCGGAATGTGTATATTCCAAATGGATACACAACACATAAGGTCACAGATGAATGCGTAAAGCGAATTTTACGATTAGTGATTAAGAAAATCTGCTTATCTGTTTATCTGCGAAATTATTATATTAACCATTTTACCAGAAATAGTATTATAATCATCATACATTTTATCACGACTTTGTCACTTGAAAATAAAAGAAGAGATTATAAATAACTAGATACAATTTATTTTAAAATATTTAAATATATCTAACATATATTTATTTTATATTTTCATGTTATATTATTTACTAAGGAATTTATTTCGAATTTTATTGCTATTTTAACGTACAATTTTAAATATGTAAATCTAACTTAAATTAATTAATTTTATCTTTTCTATGGGTAAGGTGTTTATACTTATTTTTAAATTTAAATTGCAATAAAATACAATGTACAATACATTTTAACGACCGTCGATTTACGTAGAATCGCGCTAAATATTTCGCTGTTGTTCTCTCTTGTATCGCTTTCTTTTACATTGCTCCTCGCGCGTTTATATCCGAGCAACGGCTCCCATCATTGTGACAGAAGACGAATGACAGAACATTTATAGCGTCTAAGGAGGATATCACGAGGTTCACCCTCAATTTCGCGACGATAAGGAACGAAGCCGCTGCTGTTTAGTATCTCGGCCAGTGTTAATGTCGCGCTGTGAAACGTCGTTCACAGAAAATTTAATTAATGGAGACAGGAAATTCGTTCGAATTTAAATCGAACTACGTCAACCGTTTTAATCAGGCGGCATAATTATCTTCCTGGCGAGTGCAAGGGAGTTAATGAATCTAATTACAAGCCGAAGCGAATAAACATATTTTACAGCGTGAATTGGATAGTTAATAGGATGATAATCCTGTCTCCTCTCCCTCTCCTTCCGCAATGTGTAATCTGATTTATAGCTTTATATTGCAGGATACGCACGACGGCCATTAATAGTGCTATACTTACTATAAAACTGTATTGGCAGCTATTTTACTCCGTAACGATCGCGGCGGCAATTTAATAGTCCTGTAATTAACATGCTGAATGCATGCAGAATGCGTTCTACATTAACGAGCGGAATTGAGGAAAGTTAAACAAAATTCACTCTGAATCTCTTTGCCATACTAATCGACGGAAATCTGGCTATGGTCCATTGAAATAGATTTTCTCTACTATGAAATCATTAAATGGATTAATTTAAGACAAATTGATATGATTTTATTCCATACATTTTCTCTGTAAGCAAAAAAAGTAAAACTATTGTATGTTTCGAAATTGGATTTTGAGTAAATCAAAATATAATCCATCAAATCACATTTCTGATATTCAAAATCCAAATATGTCTTCTCGGTAAGATATATAGATTGTTTGGGAATTGGATGTATTCCACATGATAAATTTCCTATAGCGAAGTCCACGGAATCAATAATTTGTCGTATTGTATCAGCAATTGTTCCTAAAGCTTTTATCAATTCGTCGGTAAGAGACGGAGACAGGAACATAATAAAAGCGCTATTAAGGAATCTGACGAGATCCGCTATGCAGATTAATCGTATTCCGTGACCCGCGCCTTGGCTGAAGAATATCGCCAGGGGATATTAGATATGCACGGCGAGACGCTGCGACCATAAATCAATTTGTATCCCGGCCGTAATGTGTTCATAATTCATGCTTAGCCTAACACAGCTCTATAGGTGGGTGTTGAAAAATTAATGCAGCGAAAATGGCCGGTATTATTCCGCCCCGTTTCCGCCCAGCCATTGTTCCGATTGCTGCTCGAATATCAGCGTCTTCGAATTTGTTATCTCGCTGAAAACAACCTCGTTAATTACACATTCCTGCAGAACAAAAAACACAGCGATGATAATAAAAATATATCACTGTGATATATTTTTAAACGATAGTTATTAATAATTATCGTGCATATTTACCGTTAGAAATCGATGCAAAAATGTACGTCTACGTATTTGTTCTCATTAATAATAATTATTTCTTGTTTTTATCTGCTATTTGATATTGTTAAATACACATGTAATCGATTAAGTGGAAATATTCTGACTTTATTTACGTATATGTTCTATATTTATATTATTGTATAAACATAGAAATCATGTGCATATTATATGAATATTTTATGAATTTTAATGAAATTTTTTGCCAACATCTAAAGAGACAATAATAATTTTATCATTGATATAATATATAATTATTATATTTTATTATAATAATTATAATTTTTTATATTCTATATTCTGTTTTTGCTAAATATTTATCATTTCACAATGATTTTATAATGACATAATGTTTACACACGACGTAATGACTATTAACTTTAACATCAAATTATAACGACGTATCTATTCCATCATTACGATTATCATTATTGATTCTATCGGACCGGTTTACAACGCGTGTTCTTTGGCGGAGGCAAGAATTCATAGCGACGTCCGAAATAAGCAACGAGCTACAGTCGCAGTATAGTAGCGATATAGTAGCAATAGAATATTCACACTGACCACGATCTCGCTTGCCGTACCACGGCGACTTATTCAATAACAACTCCGCACGCATATCCGCGTCGAGAATCAACATACAGATAAGTTCATTCATTCGTATCACAGGTATGTGCGCAATAGCGGCAGCGGGAACGTTATTATCTGCTCGTGAAACAGCGAACACGAGTTGCTTAATTCAGGGGTTGTTTCGAGAGCGTGAAACGAGCCGCCGCGATGTACCGGCGGGAATTGCGCGACTCCACGTAATAGCGTAACATCCACGTCGTATAGTTGTCACGTATGTTCGACCAAAATTCCTCGAATCGCGACCTGTAGCATGTAGCTCTTTTCTGTTTCTTTTTTTTTTCTTCCTATTACGACGGCACGCGAATCCGATGACTGCCTGACGCTGAGGTAATTTAGTCTATCGACAGATGGACCATCCCGTATCCATGAGGCGCATTCAGCGCGATCGCTCTTCCGTCTTACTGCCATGATGCAGATTGACCGAATCTTTTTCCCTCTCGCACCTCTCAAGCGAGAAACCTCGCGTTTTTACATTCCAAGTAAATCATCGTAGCGTGTCGATTGCTCGGTAAATTGCATTTTTGCCGAAAGCGCCATTAATCTTCTTTTTGAAATGGATAGCGCGCACATCTTATGTAAATATATAGTTTTGTGTGTGTGTGTGTGTGTGTATATATATATATATATATATATATTTTTAT